CGGTGGTGGCGGCGGCAGTGACGGGGCACGGGGAGCCCCAGCTCCGTGGGGACGGGGCGTCCGTCAGGCGTCCTGTCGCTGCAGGGCCAGGGTATCCATCGGGAGCCCTGACGGTGCAGGGTCAGGTCATTCATCAGGTGTTTTAGCTCTGTGCAGAGTCATCTGTATTCTAACTGTGCAGGGATGGCGTATCCATCAGGCACAGCTGCTTGAAAATCCCTAAACCACCAGGAGCAGAAGTTGCCCCTCCAAGAACTGGCATTGCATAAAACTAAGATTTTGAGAAGACTAATAAATTGTCCTGACCGTAATCCTGGCACATACAGACGTTTTGGCTATGGTTTTAAGGCTTCTCCATGAAATGTTAATGAATTTTTAACAGAAAGGATGGGTTCTTTTATTAGTTAATCAGAGAACCAAAATGAAGTATCCTAAAGCATGGGTCAAAATTGAGACAAGTCTGCTGCTGGCAAACACAGTGTGGTCACACCAAAGTAGAGGCAGCTGTAGATTGGTAAAGACAGTTGCATTTCTTCTTAAAACAAAACCTGATGATGGTGAGCTTTTGCTTATCCACCAAACTTGGTGTGAGTCTCAAATTGGCAGAAGTACACAAGCAAATCAGTGCGGGCAACAGTCACTGGCAATGCTTCTGCATCAGTACGTGCTTGACTATTACAAGACTAAGAATCAATACAGAAGAAGAGCCTTACCAGTGTCCCAGCCACGCAGTCAGTCTCAATTAGTGCTTAGAGCAGAAAATGAAAGGTACAGCATATATTAATTTGCTAGTGCTGTTGCTCATGAAACTGCTTAAGTACATAAACTTCTTTGTTATACACAAAAGAACATGTATTTTTAAATTCAAGGATTTGCTTGTTTGTTCTTCCTGAAGCACTCTTCACCATCTTGTCCCTCGCACTTCATCTTATTTAACTGCTTTGTATCAAGGACAGAATCTTACAGAATGCTTGTATTTTAGTCATCTTTACCAAGAGGGGACTTTATTTTTGTAACAATGTTTTTATAACATGCAGTGACTCTTTCTCTTTCTCAGGATGACAGGAACAGATGTTTTTGGAATTACTGTACCTCTTATTACCAATACTACTGGAGATAAATTGGGAAAGACTGCTGGCAATGCAGTCTGGCTAAACAGAGATAAGACTTCTCCATTTGAGCTGTATCAGTTTTTTGTCAGACAACAAGATAACATAGTTGAAAAGTAAGTAGGTTTTTTTGTCATTATTCCTAAAAGCTGATCCTGACTGTTCTCTGTAACTATTTCATTTGGATATGTGAAACATAAGGTTTGTGTAGAAGTAAATGTTAATTATAACTGTGCCTTCATTAAGTAAACGGGCATGACTGGTTCTTAAGTATGCAGGATAGTGGAACCTGTCTCTGTATGCTGGCGTATGCATCATAAAATGAGAATGTGGATGAACAAGCAAGCATAACACTTTTTGTTCTGCCAGTGGTGCAGCTTTTATCTTATGAGGTATGTTAGTTTCAGTACTGTAACATCACAATATCTAATGAAAACTCTCCTGCTGATCAGTAAGCAACTGCAGTTTAATAGATATTAATTACTGCAAATTTTTACTTGGTACAAAGTATCCAGAAACACCACATTCGAATAGCAAGAAGCTACTTACCTGGTTTTAAATAAACATGTAAAGTTCAGCTTCTAGAACCACATGACATGAAAAACTGCATATCCCTAATCAAATTTAAATAGTGCCTTGTTAAGAAAAAGCCAGTAAGTTCATATTTATGACTGTATTAACTCTCTAGATCAGTGATCTCTAGAGTGCCCCATCAGTAAAATAATTTTGAGCATTCACTCCTAATATATGTGTGTTTATATATTTATAATTATATAAATCTGCTACTGAAGCTTTAATATTTTCTTCCAGCACCCTATTGGATCATCTTGCATACCTTCTGGGATGCTGGCACCCCCCTTTGGAGACCACTGATCTAGATAAAAACATGCCTGGGAGACAATTACACTGTGGTAGTAGTGCAGGTAAAAAAGGGGAAACATTATACCATTTTAAGCTCACAGCAGGGAGTATAGAGGGTAGTATTTGAGGAATTTGTAAGGTAGAGGTTTTCAGGGATCAGTTTTAAAACATCAAAAATAAAAAAGGGAGAAGAGAAAACCAGAATGAACAGCTAGTAGCAGTTGGCATCCTAGGCTACAGTTCAGCAGAGTCATAGAATGATAGAATGGTTTGGGTTGGAAAGGATCTTAAGATCATCTAGTTCCAAACCCCCTGACATGGGCAGGGACACCTCACACTAGACCATGTCGCCCAAGGCTCTGTCCAGCCTGGCCTTGAACACTGCCAGGGATGGAGCATTTACCATTTCTCTGGGCAACCTGTTCCAGTGTCTCGCCACCCTCACTGTAAAGAACTTCTTTACAAACCCATTACCCCTTGTCCTGGTGCTTCAGGCCCTGATGAAGAGTCTTAATAGTTTAACTGTGGTAAAAATGTCATGCCGTTTTGCCCACTTGTGGACAAACTTAACATCTATTTCTGTTCATATACCATAACTCATACAAGCATTAACTAAAAACATGTGGATGATGGGAGGAGTGCTTGCATAAATGACCAGTAGTACTAACATGGTGAAACCCTAAGGCTGTTTTTTATATCTTGCATGGAAATTTTAGTGGATCTTTTTAAAAATTGCAAATAGGAACAATTTGCATCATCCTGGCTCTACTTAATGTTTGAGGGTTTCATTGATGTTAACTGTTTATGTTTCCCACCTCAGAATGTAGAAGCAAAGATTTCCACTTATAACGGCAGGTGGATTGATCTGTAAAGCAGATGAGACTGTAATGCACCAAAACTCGGAAGGACATCCAACTACTGCTTAAAGCAGTAGCATGTACAAAGACAAAATTCTGAACAGTCATTACTTAGAGCAACTCCAATGAGCTAAACATGGTCTTGGATTCATTGTGGTGTTTCTGAATCCAAGGTAACCACACATAACTTGCATTCTTACTGTCTAAGAAAATGTAAAAATACTAAAGTCATACAAGAACATGAAAGGGTAGGGAAAATGTGAGAAATACCATTTGACAGGTTTCCTTCACCGATGGCTAGCCTCCATGCTGGTGTGCCAGGGACATGGCTGAAAATAAAAAGCCAATAGTTTTATTCAGGGCATTACATAAATTTTAGTAAGTTGCTATATGCTCTCTTTTAAATCTGCCTTTAATGTCAGTATCACTGTCAAATCCGAGTCTTCATAAACCTCACACAGGGACTTCCTTTTCATGTTGTGACCTGTCTCGTAACTTGGTTACCTCTCCTAAAGCTTTATGCACTGGTATTTCTGACTGTGGTTCTGCACCCACAGCAGTTTTCAGACTGAAAAGAAGGGTATGTGGGTACTTAATGTTACCATGTTTCATGCATTCAGACTCTGTACCAGTAAAAGTACTTTGTACTTTTTTTAATACACTGCATTTCATGGTACTGCAAGCTCATTAAAATGAACTTCGTAGTAAAGAGTATGGTTAGATACACACCTTTAAATTCTTGATTACCCTAAATAATCTTCCTGCTCAGATACTTGTCCATACATCGCATACTTTGGTACCACAGGCTGGGAGTGGTATTTTGCATTAGTGTATTGTGCAACTACTAAGAATATAATCTAAAACCTTGTTAGTTGACACACAATAAATCCTGTAAGCATTTCGGGAGAAAACCAAGTTGTTGATTGCAATATAAGCTTCAAAAAAGGATGTGACACTGTCTTACATTTGAAGACATAACCCTAGGCAGAATATTAAAGAAAACATGAGCTATGCTAGTACGCGGAAGCATGTGGGCAAAAACAAAAGAGTTGTTTGAAAGGACAGAACATCTGTAATATAGTTTTCTTAAATTGACTAAGAATCATTTTAGTCTAGTTAATGAAGCTTGAATGACAAAGGCAGGAAATGTTTTAATTATGACCACATAGAAAAATACTTTTTTTCCTGCTCATAGATACCTGAAACTCTTCACCTTCATTCCTCTTGAGGAGATTGACCACATCATGGAAATGCATGCTAAAGAACCTGAAAAATGGGGCCCTCAGAAACGACTTGCTGCAGAAGTTACCAAGCTGGTTCATGGTAGAGAGGGGCTAGAATCTGCTAAGAGGTGAAGTTTGATTTGTCAAGCAGTTTTCTTTCAGATTTATTCAATGGTAATTATCCATAGCTTTTCAAGGACTGTTCATGTAGCTAGTTGTTGCTCAGCTGTTAGAAGAAAAAAATGTAATAATTCTGTGGACTTAAAAATACAGTAACATTATTTTAAAAAAATTGCAGAGCAGCAGGTTATGACAAAAAAAAATAATTAAAGCGGGTGTACTTTAAGTACCTCTGTTACTGTGTGGACACTCAGAAGAAGTTGGGGAAGGGAATCTGATGAGTTGTGTAGCTCTTAGTGTGAAGATGAGACTAGCCCTGTATTTTGAATGATCTTTGTTCTCACAGGTGCACTAAGGCCCTTTATCACAGCAGTGTGGAGGCATTGGAAGCTATGTCTGACCAAGAGTTACAAGAACTTTTTAAACAAGCTCCTTCAGCTGAATTGATGCTTGAACCTGGAATGAATGTTCTTGACTTGTGTCGCAAAGCAAATGCCATTGCAGATGGACCTAGTGGGTATGTTATCACCTGTGCTCTCTGGCAATACCTCACTTAAGCAAGTTGTAGTGGTATGCTTTCAGCAGTTAAACAAAAGATGAGGACAGCCAAATGAAGTAGAAACAGTCTAGCAATCTACATACCAGCATTAAAGAAGAGGGGAGCAGGTGGCCTGATTCCATTTTGAAGTAGGATAATGCAGCCTCATGTATCTTAGCTGTAAAATCTATACCTGATGAAGGGTCAGTCTAAGACAACAAGCAGCCTGTTTCCTTATGAACTCTCAGTAAGAACTGGAGTGGTAAAGACTAAGGTTAATTTCAGTCACTTTTGACCTGGACTGAAAGTAAGTGCAAGATAATTAATACTTAGTTATGGATCCAACCAAAAAGCTCTTAGCTGAACTTTTAATCCTTAACAATAATAACAATTTACTTGTTACAGTACCTGTTTCCCTGTTTGTTTTTTTGTTTTAGGTACCAGAAAATTACACATGGTGGAGTTTCAATAAATGGGATTCGTGTAACTGATCCAGAGACTGTTCTTATTCTTGGACAGCATATTCTCAAGAATGGAGTATCATTACTTAGGATTGGAAAGAAAAATTACTACATTATAAGATGGCTGCAGTTGTGACAACAGAATATCTCACTAAAATGACAGATCATTTTGACTCTGTTGCTTGAAGATGTTTCTAGACTGTGCATTAGTACACAGCTCACAAATTGCCCAACACCATAGTTTCATTTTCAGAATACACCAACAGAGTTCAAATAAAGGCAGCTAAATTATACCACTGAAGATATTTTTAGATACTCTGCCTTACTCAAAGTACTGTTCATAAGAGGATAGGCACAAGATTAAAAGATTAATTTCAAAGTCCAAAGATGAAGATGCTCTTCCCATCATTTAACAACCTTCTGTGTTGCAGAGGAACAGTGGCCAGGTACTCTACAGCATAATCCACAGCAAGATGAGCAAAAGTATATTCAAAACCAGTACTTCTTACAGAGGATGTATGCTGCTGTCCAAGTTTGACTTCACCCTAGCAGAGAAATCCACGTAAGTGGGTAAGGACAACCAACCTACGAGCAATGTTTTTTTTTTTCTGAACAAGTTTGCTTTGAAGGAAGCTGCAGGATATTCACAATAAATTAGTAGAATGATTAAGACCCAATATGTAATCTTACTGGTTATGTCCAGGGGCACATTGTATAAGGGCTTTCTATCTCTAATGTGGTACTACAGAGCAAATTCACTTTTTGAAGTGTAAGAGAGTATAAAGCCTTTCAAAACTTAAATCAACCTGATGAATCCCTTTATGCGTTCTGTGTGCTTAGTGTAACTTAGAGCATGGATAACACTCATTCTGCTTCTTCAATCCTGTGAATTACTAGGATGCATCTGTGCTATCTACAGTCCTTGTCAAAGGTATACCCTGGTACCAGTTAGGTGGGCTCTACAGTCAGTTGCAAGATAGTATGTTACACTGGAAGATTTGAAGTATGTGTATGAAAGCTGTTCAATTTTAGCTGCCTAGGAGTTGTGGATGAACAGTGCAAGCGTATCCAGATTAGGAAATGTGAAGGAAGCTACAGTGCTTTTGCAATTAAAGTAAGTCAGACCTTTCAGATAGGGCAATGTGCAAAAACTGCACTTTTTGGCTCACAAAAGAGCCAAGAGCAATCCTATTGCATATGGCGTAGTCAAACATTTGGGATCATAGCTTCCTCATTTTCTTGTAAAGACAGCATGAAAGTGAGACTGTGCTTCCAGGAGTTCATAGAATAGCAACATCTCCCTTTCAAGGTAGAATTGCTCCAAAACACCCCCCAACATACTCCCCACACCCCTGTTTCTGTTACCCACCACTACAGGTGCTTACACACCTGGAACAACATATGCATGGAGTACCATGTCTTGCTAAATTCCCTTCCAATGGTGGGGGTTTGGTATTGAGTTGCTTAGGCAATACAGGTACCATAGTACTTGGAGCCAGCTCACCTGAAAGACAACAAAGTCCACATGTAATTACCAAGATTATTTGGTAACTACAAACAACATACTTGAAACGCAGAGAACTGGTTATTTAACTGCCAGAATACATTAATGTAGCTAGCTGGCTTAGAGCCTTTTTATTAAGGGACCCTCTCTGCCTCAGGGCAAACATGTATGGAACACGTATGAAGTCTGATTTATGAAGCGATTGATGGCTTTGGGTCTCAACTGCAGTGTTGTTTTCAAGGTTTAGGGTAATCCTCACTCTTGGGCCAAGGAGAATCATTTCCTGGTCCATGAAACTCCTAGACAATACCATTTTGCAGTTACAAGGGGAGAGCCCTTAATCTTGCATATCTGAACATGGTCACTCAACGTTAAGAGCTGGTGATGAGTAAGTCATGGTATTTCAGCTGGTTTAAAAACCACTCCAGCCTACAAGAATGGGGAAATTAGAATACAGACATTCTAGAGTTGGGTGGGAAGTTTCTGTTGTTTATTTAGGTAGGCTTGGTTTAGGGTTTTTTTTGTTTGGTTTTGGTTTTGTTTTTTTTTTTTCTACTTGATGTTGATCAACTTGATGTTGGCTTTATTTGCATTGTCAGTCAAGATTTCAATAGTAATAAATTATAGTGGTTTCCTGCTTACATATCAGTTTCTTCAGATTATTAAACTGTAATATCATAGTACTTTCAGTAGCTCACCACATGCAGTTATTAGTATTAATGTCGGTTTCTAGATCCCACTCACCTGCTTGATAATGAGTTATCTCTATTCTAATCTGTTATATAAAGAAAAATGAAAAGTAATTGAGTTATTCCCACCTTAAAGGTAGCTCTCGGAACCAGTTTGTTGCTTGTGACTTTGTCTTAAGCTGTAGTGATGATCAGAACTATTGTAGAAAAAGCATATGGAGGGAAAAAAAAAATCACAACAAAGGGTAGAAGAGGGAAGGGAAAGGTAAGTTCATCCACTTAATATAGCAGCCTTGTTCCTTAAATGTCAGAAGCACTATAGCAATACAGAAATATGCACCTGGAAACAAAATATACTGGTACACACCCATATTAGCCTTCTGAGAAATACAACAAATCAGATTTGACAGCTGCTTTCTCATTGCAGGAAATAAATTCCCAGTAGAGTAAACGTGTTTTCTGTCTGATCTCTCTCCTGCCTTTCTTCTTTCATCTCTAAATAGTTCCAATACACACGTATCCACAAATTTCAGCTTTTTTTAAAAAGCATTAGTGCCCACTTTGATGAAGCATTAGAAGGATTTTATTTATTTTTACAAATACAAAATAAAAAAGGGAATTAAATTCTTTGCATACAAGATTTTTAATAAGATCCATAAACTCCAGGCAGTTCAGTCCATGCTTCCTTTTGACCAACTCCTAGCAATCCAAACCTTTTCCTGACTTTAAAAAGTAACAGCTGGATACAACCACTACTCTTTATGACTGTACAGGGTCATCAGAACTGAACACTTAAGCCAAGAATCAAGGATGACAAAAAAAATCTGAATATTCTTTCTTAGCCTGGTCTCATTTCACATATACTCCAAAGCAGACGTGTTCAGGTAATCGGAGACATACCTTGTTCAAATGTAAACCAGTAATAAAGTATTTAACATGTCTACAAATACGTGATGTGGAAATACAGGAAGAAAAGTCATTATTTAGGCCAGATATTACAAATAAAAACCAAACAAAACAACAACAACATTTGTGCAGTACCTGGGAGCAACAAAACCTGGAGGACTTGAACTTAACATTATTTTGGCAGCTAGCAATGAAGAGGTAAGGGGTGGAAGGGTGTGCGGCAAGGGAGCTATCAGCATGAAAGCACCTTCACTAGTTTAAAGTGTTACAGGGCATAAAACCATATTCAGGTAGTCTGTTCTGTTTTAAACTTTGAAGAATCATCCAGCTCTTACCTCAAAGCAGAGTTCTTGGCAACAAGTTAAAAAGCACATGCATTTGAGATCTTTAGTATCTACAGAAAGCACTAGCTAGCTGTTGCTCTCATAGCTAAATGATTTAACTGTAACAAACAAGCAAAACCCCAACAAAACCAAACCCCAGAACCTCAAGATAATTCAGGTTACCAACAGGGGCACAGCAGCCTGACAAGTTGTTTACCCTGCTTGTATTCCATAAAACAGGGACCTGAGTTTACAATATCCAGTCTGGCATTTTTCAAAGTCAGTCCTCCATAGAGTAAAGGCAAGTTTCATGTACATTTTGTTAAGCAAGTTTAAAGCAGCACACAGGCACTCCCTCTTAACACATCTCTTCCACTAAGTGAAATTTGAAACCGACTACTAAAAACCCCCAAGTAATTTATTGTCAAACTCTGTTCATTTAGGGATACTAAGTTTTATTTACAGTAATACCACTCACAGGTCAGGTATTAATGTCAAACATTTACTCATCTAAACGTAGCCACAGTGGTTTTTCTCCCCCATAATTGTGTGTTTCACTAGACAGCAAGTTATTTAAAGTTAGCTGAAATTTGTGCATTGGTGACAAAAATATTTCAAGTTTAAATTAAGTAAGGTGGACTAGAAGACACTTGTAAACCATCAGTCTAATCTGGGATTTTTTTCAATTGCTGCCTTCATTAGGCTTTTTAGTTTTTGGGGTTTTTTCATGGTTTTCCCAAAATATCTTTTAAGGGTGGCAGTAATGGAAGCATTTTAAGTATTTTCAGTCAATACCAGACAAGTTGTTTAAATACCATTAATAGCCACTAGAAGCCTGTCTACACTATCACTTATGCAACTATACAAGAACTAACAGTGCAGAACTGCACCAGGGCAAATGCAAACATACATAAGGCTGTACAAATATAGGTAGTTATACTATTAATTTGTAAGAGCATGTATGTCCTGCCACCTGAACTACAAGTCAGTTCAGAACTTTATTTCTGGGATAATTTTGTGTATTATTTCTTTATTTAATATCAGAATTGTTACAGCATGGATTTTTAAAGACTTGCATTAAGGATTACAAATCAAGTTCATTTCTTGGCACTCAAACATTACTGAATTGATCTGTGAAACAAAAAAGTCGTAATGTTTCAAAACAAATTAACACTGTGGAAGTTTCACATGGCATTACGGAGCCAGTCACCACTTGCAGGGTGTTTTTAAATAAATGGAATTAATTTGCTTTATGCAGCAGCATTTCAAAACTTAACAACATGTCAGAATATTTCTTCACAAGAGACTCTTGACTGAACTTCAGGAGTCAAAGCTTAGGTAGCAGTTCACTTGTGGACGGCTCTACCTTGTTGCAAACATACTTCTTCCATGTTAGAAGTAAAAGGGAGAGAGGTGTCAGGTGAATTCCAAACAGAAATGTACTGCTTTTGACAACACTATTAAAAGCTTTTGCTGTTCACCAGAATTGATTTGAAAAGTGGCTTGCATTTCATTACAGACACATTTCTTAAATCTGAGAACTCCCATTACTAGATACAATGCAAGAAGTTTAAATTACTTCCTTCGTATTCATTACTTGTAATACATACATCATGACTTTTTAGGCTGTTTAAAAAACAGAATATATTTGTGTTCTGCAAGAATTGCTTTGGATCATGCATAAAGTATCCAGAAGTTGCATCTGCCAGACTTAACCCCTTTTGCTTATATTGGTGCCTAACTGGAGATTACCATCAGAAAAATACATTTTTATACAGACCTTGTAAACTGAGGTCTTAGCAGGTTTTTGTAAAAATTTTCAGTCTTTAGCAGCTTACAGAAGGAATTCCATTTCTTTTAACTGATGAAAT